GGGGACATGTGCCCACCACTGCTCTCCCTGGTTACAACCCCCATTCCGACAGGCCCCCGAGCTGGAGGCAGAGGAAGGGTTGTGTGTGATGCGCAGGAAGGGCCACGCATTAGCGGAAGAACCCTTGGGCGTAAGAAGCCAACGGTATTCTCCAGACGGCTTCTGGGGCTGGACCAGCTTTGTCAAATGGGAGAACAGAGGCTGGAGATTTGCTGTAAAAAAAGTTGAACCTCTGTTATCCAGGATTCCCTGGCCCGGCAACATCCGTCGTCCGGCAGGACCAGATATTCCTGGTGGCTAGGCTCCTGGCAGCTGGGCTTGCCTGGTGCGCCACATCTGGGCAGCCAGGCCCAACCCAAAGGGGCTGCCCGGCGGGGCCAGGAGCTCAGTGCACTGTAGCGGGGCAGCCCGGAGGGGCCAAGCATGCAGGCAGCTCAACTGCCCAGCATAGCAGGGAAGGGGGGGGGGGCACACTGGCAGGGTAGTGAGGCTGGTGGCAAGGGGGAGTCAGTCAGGAAGCCGGTGGCTGGTCCAGGGCTGGGAGGAGCCAGTAGCAAGGGAGCCAGATATGACCTCCCCTGGTCCGGCAAAATCCCTCATCCGGGACTGGTCAGGTCCCGAGGGCGCTGGACTAGAGAGGTCCATTCTGAACATGCAATGTACAGATGCAATTCCCACGAAGGATGCCGGTAGGCTAAGGGACCGATGAGAGGGCTCCACAGGGACACCCAGAAGAGAAGGCATTCCTCCCTGACCCTCTGCTAACCTGCCCTTCCCGAGACGCCGTTTACACAGGAGAGAACGAAATCTCTGCTCCTCGCGGCACGATCAGAATAAAGAGGCTATGCGGCAAAGGATCACAATTTAATGCCATAGAATCGGAACGGGGGTTACAGTCTTCTAGCTCCCAAACCCTCATTTTTGAAACAAGCTTCTCTCTCGCCGATTTTTCCAAGCTGTGGTTGAATAGTGTTTTCCCCACCCCGAGAGCTCTCCACTGAAGCCCAGAGCCCCCGGCGGCGGGCAGTACATACCCAGCACAAGTGCATCACTACCCGAGAAGGACTGGCGTTGGCAGCAGATTTAAGACTCAAGAGCAGAGCTATGCCCCTCAGCAAATTCAGAAATTCTCCCCAGGCGAGCAGCTTGTAAACTTAAGGTGCTCGGCCAATTAGAGCCAGGAATAGTGGCCATCTGCAGGCCTGGCCTAGCCAACTTCTCCAAACCCCACGCAGCACACCGGTAACCCTCAGTGTTCCTGGCGGGAGCGGAGAGGGTCCTGTGCAGACTTCTCCAGCCAGCAGGCACTGGAAAAGCAGCGGTGGGCTTGGGACAAACCAATGTCCCCCATCCTCCCCTCGCTCACTCTACTGAAGTGTGTCTGGGCTGCCGTAAGGCCCATTTGGTCAACCAGTGCTAGTGCCCCGACCCTGCCTGTAAGCAACTTTGCTGTATTTGAACTAACAAGCCGGACGGCTCCCAGCACTGCAGCCTGGCGGTGGCTCTGGCTTGCTCCTGAGCCAGGCAGCCGGCTCACTCAAGGGACCGAGGGCTCGAGTCCCCGGGGGCAGCGGGACAGAGACCCGCACGCTTCCGGCGCACTGAACTGCAGGGGCAGTGCAAACTGCAGTCCGGAAAAGGACAAGCAAGTGCGCGATTTGCTGTCGATATTTCCTCCCCTTCTCCTCCACCCCCCCCCCCGGCCTTCTCCCACGGGGTCCGTCCAATCACGATGCCGCTAGTACACCGGCCGGATCTCCGCCAAGCAGACGCACGGCTCTGCTCCCACCTGTGGGCGTGAATCCTGTCTGATCGGGAGAGGGGAGAGGGCTGCTCCAGGAAGTTTGCAGGCAAGCTGAAGCCCGCGGCGGAGGCTCACGGCAAGCAGGCAGCCACCTGGTACGCTCCCTCGGCCGTGTGCTGGACGCTGTGCTCCTGCAGCAGGCCCGGCCGGATCTCCGCCAAGCAGACGCACGGCTCTGCTCCCACCTGTGGGCGTGAATCCTGTCTGATCGGGAGAGGGGAGAGGGCTGCTCCAGGAAGTTTGCAGGCAAGCTGAAGCCCGCGGCGGAGGCTCACGGCAAGCAGGCAGCCACCTGGTACGCTCCCTCGGCCGTGTGCTGGACGCTGTGCTCCTGCAGCAGGCCCAAGTCCAGGAACCGCTCCCCGCACCACATGCACTTGTACTGCTGCTCCCGGGCGTGCACGCTGTGGTGCTTGTTGAGGTGCTCGCGCTGCTTGAAGGCCTTCTCGCACGAGGGGCACTTGTACGGCTTCTCGCCCGTGTGCACGCGCCGGTGCCGCTGCAGGTCGGAGGCGTACTTGAAGCGCTTCTCGCAGTCCGGGCACTTGAGGGGTTTCTCGCGCGCCGGGTCGCAGCGGTGCTGCACAAACTCTGAGGAGGAGAAGAAGCGTCTCTCGCACAGCGTGCACTTGAGCGGCTTCTCGGCGCAATGCGAGAGCTGGTGCTTCTGCAGGGCGGAGGCCCTCTTGTAGGCCTTGTTGCACACGGTGCACTGTACTTGAAGCGCTTCTCGCAGTCCGGGCACTTGAGGGGTTTCTCGCGCGCCGGGTCGCAGCGGTGCTGCACAAACTCTGAGGAGGAGAAGAAGCGTCTCTCGCACAGCGTGCACTTGAGCGGCTTCTCGGCGCAATGCGAGAGCTGGTGCTTCTGCAGGGCGGAGGCCCTCTTGTAGGCCTTGTTGCACACGGTGCACTGCACGCACTTGTGCCGCAGCAGCTCCGAGGACTGGTTGAAGCCCTTCTGGCAGACGTTGCACTTGAAGAGGTTCTCGATGCCGTGCACATGCTGGTGATAGACCAGGTGCGAAGGCTGCACAAAGCCCTTCTCACACAAGTTGCACTTGAAGGGCTCCGGCGCCTTGTGGGTGCGGCGGTGGCGCATGAGGGCGTACTGCTGCTTGAAGCTCATCTGGCAGAGGTCGCACTTGAAGGGGCGCTCCTCGCTGTGCGTGCGCTCGTGCTGCCGCAGGTCCGAGGGGCGCTTGAAGGCCTTGTGGCACGCGCCACAGCGGAAGGGGCGCTCCCCGCTGGGCGTGCACGGGTGCTGCAGCAGCTCCGACGACTCCTTGAAGTGCAGCTCGCAGACGCTGCACTTGAAGAGGTGCTCGCCCGAGTGGGCGTACATGTGGCGCACCAGGTGCGAGCGGTGCTTGAAGGTCTTCTCACACACCGTGCACTTGTACGGCCGCTCCGAGCTGTGCGTCCGCTTGTGGTGCACCAGGTGCGAGGACTGGCTGAAGCTCTTGTCGCACAGGGTGCACTTGTACGGCTTCTCGCCGGTGTGGATGCGCTCGTGCCGGGAGAGCTCCGAGAGGTGCTTGAAGGTCTTCTGGCAAATGGAGCAGCTGTAGGGCTTCTCCGTGGGGTCGGGGGCCTGGGAGGGCTCTGCCTCGGGCGGCTTGTAGGTCTTCTCACAGATGGAGCACTTCATGGCGCTGCCGTTGTGGACGTTGTGGTGCTGGGCCAGGGAGGTGAGCAGGGAGAAGCCCATCTTGCAGACCCCACACACAAAGGGCTTCTGTTCCACCTGGATGCACTGGTGCTCCAGGAGATCAGTGGCCTGGTGGAAGATCTTCAGGCACTGGGTGCACTGGAAGGAGCGGTCATGCCCTGGCAGACACTGGTGCTCGTGTGGGCTGGACAGGTGAGTGAGGTCGTGGCCGCACACCCCGCATTTGTGGGACGGCTCTCCCGCCTGGACTGGGGGGTGCTGGTGGTGCTGCAGGCTGGGGTCCGGCTGGAGCAGGATGCCGTAGACGGCGCAACCCAAAGGGTTCTCGGCGGTGCTCGACGGGATGGCGTGCTCGGAGAGGGCTGCTGCCCCCGTGTGGTGTTGTTGCTGGGCTGGCGGTTGCTGTGGTGGGGGCTGCTGCCAGCTTTCTGACATGCTTGGGAAAAAGAAATGGGGTTTTAGCAGACACAGCTTCAGCTTCCCAGTCGAGGGAACCGACTCTGTCGAGATACTGAGCCCAAGCGGCTGGCCTGAACTGGGGGTGAAGAATCCAGCCCAGGCTGTGGACCTCAGATGCCAGGCGGCTCTGTTAGACCATTTCTCAAGAGGTTTTTGGACAAACTCAACAGAAACCGGAAGCAAAAATGTGTCTTGAAGACAACCGGAGGCTCTTGTCCATGCTCAGCCAACGCTCGCACGCTTGAAGAGGAGGGGAACACTCGCCAAGGAGCAACTCTGCAAGGAAAGAAGAGAGCTCACGTCAGGTCCCACAGGCAAGCAAGCTAACCGTACGTCCAACCCTTGAGTCCAGGGGTCGGCAACCTTTTCAAACCAAAGAGCCAAACGACATCGACGGTCAGAACGAGCGGTCAACCAAGAGCCGCCTAAGGATGCCCATTTGCAGGACTGAAAATGTACAGCTTAATACTACTGATAATTGACACGATGGTTAACAGCCTCAATGAAACGTACTCACAGATTTTATTTAATGGGACTTCGGCTGCTGCATCTTTCCGCGCATTTCTTTGACGTTTGCATCATAACTGGTCAAATTCAGGTTCATGCATGCAGTCAGGCAGGCTACATGAGTAGCTGTGTGGTTTTAAATTTGTGAATTAATTTTTCATTTTAATTTTAAAAGTTGCATGTATTTTGGGACAGATGAGAACTCCATAGGTTGCAGACCCCTGGAGCAGATTAAAAATAATCAGTTCTATGCAAGCCACACGTAACATAAAAGGGGAAAACTAACTGAGTCAGGAGGAACACATTCCTGAGACCTGCAACCAGACCCACCCGGGGCAAGTTTGACCTAGGACCAGCAGAGACTACATCCTTCCGTGACAGTCATATGCCCCTTCACAATACCTAACCCCGTTAAAACAGGCTGTTTCCTAATGACCGTCTGTCTTGGTTTTTTGGCTTTCTGCATTTCCAATCAAGTATGATAGTCCCGAAAGGGAAGCCTGTGTATATGCGTCTAGTGGCTCTTCCCGTTTAGGAAGAGTTTGGAGGTTCTTTTGTCCAAATTTAGGGCACACATTGAGAACATCACCATCTCTTCCCTAAATTCTCAAAGACAACTGAGCACGTAGTCAATTGCAATAAATTCACCTGTATTTTAATTTCAACTCCCAGGGCAGACACTGGTTAAGAATCCATTGGCTAGAGATGGTGAAAGTCTCTTGTTAACCACAAGGCAAGCCCAACCTTCTCAAGATGACACACAGTCCCTTGTCAGATGGAATATGCCGCTCTTCACAAAAAGGTCTCTGCACAGGAGCAGGAAGGAACTCCTGGGGTTCTACTCATCTACTAATACCAAAATGCGGTGTCCCTATCGTGCAGGTAGATACACACTGCTGCATGCTAAGAGCCAATCAAATTTTACACAGAACGACAGGATCCCTGGGGAAGTGGAGGCTGGTCTGATCCAGTTAGGACTGGCTGAGTACCAAAGGCTCAATTGGGTAAACCACCTCTGAGGTGTCAGGATATACTTCCAGTCCCCAGCTTTGTTAGTGAACCCGATACCCCAGCTGTAGAAATAAAACAGCCTCACTCCAGAGCAGATCCAAGTCAATAAAACATCTTCTGCAGCATACTATCTGAAAAAGCTAGGAAGAACATACTTTGTTCATAATGGGCCACACAACATTAACCAATTAGACTAGTCAGAGACCCATTTACAGACAGATCAAAGAACCCAAAAGAGTTTGTAGCTATATAGGTCTCTTAGCGAACATGGCCTCAGTAGATAATGCGACTGGCTGATTACAGAGACGCAAACTGTTGAAAGGAGGATCGTTGGAGCCTAAAAACTTGTGCAGAATTTACTCACTGGCCCAATGAACGTTATCATGTTTTTTACCTTACAATCAAGCAGCAACAGGAGTTGTAATCCTTCCAGATGCATAACACAGGGGACTAAGAAAACGCACCAAACACCTTCTAGTACGAAGCCTGAGCCAAAAGCAGATACAAGAGAAGGATGGTGGATAACAGCAAGGCCCAGGAATAGACAATCCCCTGGCAAGAATTCTACGGGTAGCAATATTCCTACTGGACCATATCCCAGGCCCCACTCAAAAGCTTCATCTTCATATTATTTTCTCATTAAGAGGTGACTTTGGATTCAGCAGCAATTGATGGCTCCCATTCATTGCTGGAAACATCTCAGACGTCAGGGACAAGCGTCAAAAATCAACCCAAAACTTCACCCAGAGTTGCACTGTTTTGATACTCAACAGGACACTCCAATATCAATAGAATGCTTCACTAACCAATTTGCCTTACGACGCTATATTTAACAGTTAATATTTAATTCAGGAAAGCCACCAAACTTCTTAGGGCTGGCGACTTCACAGGGAAAACTCCTCTTCCAGTCCCACATATTCCACTCCATCCCCAGCATTAATTTAGAGCGATTTCTACTAAAAGAATATCTGCAGTTACACTAGCTAGAGTAAGAATTTAAGAAGAGACTCATGTTTCAGGGTATAAGGCAACCACTGATTACCCAGGGAGAAGAAAAAAAAATCTTCCCCTGTAGGCAAGTTTATTCTGTAGTTGGCTGTTGTGCGGTTTCATAGATAAGCACTTGGCAGAGACGTGGACTATAGTCGGATGCAGCATGGAAACTGCTAGGTAATACCCACATAAACAAAGCCGTTACAGACTGCACTATATACATAAACATAAGCAAATTAGTGCAGCCTTTCAATCTAGCTGGTCCCTTGGTGGGACACAGAAGAGGATGACAATTTAACAAGAGTGCCAGAATGAGAAGCACTCTCAAAAGTGGAGAAGAGGAGGGAATATAGATTGTGAATCATCGTCTGGTCCACCTTCTGCACATCACTTCTCTTGCCTGTCTGTTACGAACCTATTTGTGTTCTCATCACCACCTTTCCATTGCAGGCCCAAGCTCATTTCTGCTCAGCTTCCAAGTCGCAATCCCAGCACCAAACAAAACATCAGGAAGAGAAGAATAACTCCTGAGTGCAGGCCCAAAGCAGAGGTGACAGGCAAGACAGAAGGGTTCAGACTCCAAGCCAAGGAGATTACAGCAGCACAGGGCATAGAAGAAATCACAGGAACAGTCTGTACCTCAATTAATTCCAGCACAAGTGTTCCTCTGAATGACTTGGCTTTCGTCAGCCTGCAGCACAACCTTAAGATTAAACATATTTAACAAGCATGTTAACAGTGAGCTCCAGGCATTCCCCACCAGAAGATACAGCTAGATCTTTAGACAAAACCAGGCACCCTCAGTTGCTACCGGTTCCTCAGAGGCATCTTTACTTTTTTAGTGGATAATTCGCAAGCTACCCCATACAAGAGTCCTCTAGCCAGCCTTCACCCCGGGGGGGTCATAGGCAAACCATTGCTCACTAGAACAAACCACACCGTTACGGAGAACTCGCCGGACAGGTAAAAAATAGGCAAAAAGAAGCCAGAAACGCTACAAATACCCTACTGAAAGTCCTCTTTGTAATAAAGCCTAGAAACAGGACAGGAAATAATCCCGCAGCGTCCTCCTCTGCCCTATCCCGCCCCCTGCTCCACCAGACCCGCGGAGGAGACACCCAAAGCACCAAGTGTCACTTGCAAACCAGACAAGAAATGGGGCTGGCGTCCTTAGGAGTAACCGCTCCCCTCCCCCCAGACGGGGTCCCGGGGGGGGGATCTCCAGTGGGGAGGGACAAAACTGCGGGGGAAGGGAGAGGAGCGAGACGCCACGAGGGATCCGCCGAGGCAGAGGGGCCCGGTTCGGTGCCCGGGCCCGGTCTGCGGGGCCCCCCGGGGGTGGGGGGCAGGGCGGAC